TTAATATATAGTATAGATATGAAAATTGTATGTATGCCCGTAATGTCCTAGTGTATTACGGTCATACATACATTGTTTGGAAATATGTGTAAAATATATTGAACAAAAAGGAGAAAAATAAAAAAAACAAATAGAGAGAAAAATAAAAACGGGAAAAAATAAAAAAATAAAAAGAAAAGGGAGAGGAAGGCGGGATCATGGGATCATGGAAGGAGGGGTGTGAGAAAATTAAAAAGTAAAAGAGAGAGAAGCAGAAAAGTAGAAAATGTATATGTAGAATATTTTTTGGAAAATATATCTCAACCATTGTTTTATAATTTGAATAGATCTAAGCCATCCAAATGTCCTAATAGGACAAAAATATGTTGAAGATTAAAAAACCGTCCTGTTTTATTAAAATATGTTGAAGATTCATATGAGGTCTAAATTTACGAACTGTATCAGGTATTCAATATATTTAAAAATAATAATTAATTGTTCAAATTCATTTAATTTGTGGACTAAAAAATTCATTAATATAATCTCCACTACACACAGTAAAATCTGACTCCTAATCCTGGGATCGTAGACCTTTTCATATAATATGAATAAAAATATGTGAACAAAAATAAGAAAATAAAAAAAATAAACAAATACTGAGAAAAATAAAAATGGAAGAAAATAAAAAGAAATTAAATTAAAAATAAGAGAGAAGAATGTGGGATCATGGGATCATAGAAGGATGAGTGAGAAAAGGAAAAAGTAAGAGAGAGAAGCGGAAAAATAAAAAATGTACATGTAGGATATTTTTTGAAAAATATATCTTAGCCGTTGTTTTATAATTTGAATAGATCTGAACCGTCTAAATGTCCTAATATAACAAATGTGTGTAGGACAAATTCATAAACTATCTTACTTTATTATATAGATATATGTATGTTTTTTAGTATAATGGTATTATTGTATGGAGTTATATACATAAGGAGATTATTAGATTAGAGTAGGATAAAAAATGTGATGGGATTTAAAAATTATTTTTGACTAAGTAAGATAATTGAAAAAGAGTTGGGATTTAATATATGAGGCATTAATAGTGAGTTCGATTAAACAAATCCAGATCATGAGAGATTAGGAAAATGAATATCCCCTTAGTTTATTCTCCTCCAATTTAGACAAGCAAACGCTCTCTTAGATGTTGTTTAATAAAATTAAGTACTAAATACTAAATTTTCAATGTGAAAAGTTGTTTAATATTTATTAAAATTTAATCAAGTTGTTGGATATAAGATGAACCATAGAATTTGAAAAAAATTGCCTAATTTTATTTTTATGCTATACTCTTTATATTTATAGTGGTGGGTAGAGTGCTAGAGGGGATGACAACCATAATGCTTATATGGTGGTAAAATGATGGCAATAAAGATGATGGTGACGATCGCATGGCAGTTGTTAGTAGTGGTTGTAATTGTAATGCAAGTTAGCATATTAGTTAATTTTTGGTTAAATTTTTGGTTAAATTACAAATAGATTTTATGAGATTTGTTTAAAACACGTTTTCTTTCCTTTTTTTTTATAGTTTCAGAAATTACATTCCGTCTTTTGAAATTTTTAATTTTTTAATACATAGTCATTTTATTAATAAATTATCAAATCAATTAATAGTTTTTAATAATATTAGAAATTTATTTCAATTAATAATTCAAGTTTTATCATCATATAGGAGAATAGTTAGGAATTTTTTTTAATTCAGTTAATTTTATTAAATAAAAAATTCTGACAATGAGATATTTATAATTTTTCAAACCACATAAGACAATTCGTATTTTAAATAAATCTGAAGAGGTGTATTTGTAATTTACCCTTAGTTTTATTATTACTTTTCTATTTATTGCGTCTTATATTTTATTTTTTAAATTTGTATTCAAATTTAGAAAAAATTATAAATACACTTCCTAAAATTTACTTAAAATACCATATGCCTCTTGTGGTTCTGAAAATTACATCTCACTTTTCGAAATTTCTAATTTTATAACAAATGGCCCATTCTATCAATAAATCATCAAAGTCAATTAACATTTTTTAAATGTTGTTAGAAATTTATTTTAATTAATAATTCAGATAATTTTACTATGTATTATAGAATAGGTAGAAATTTTATTTTTTCAATTAATTCTATTAAATAAAAAAATCTAATAATAGAATATTTATGATTTTTTAAATCATAAAAGATAATTTATATTTAAACAAAATTAAAGAAGTGTATTTATAATTTACCTATAAATTTATGATTTAAACCTGACTTAAAATTTTATCTAATCATCTAGACACGTTCCATGGGTGGTGGCCATAGAATGACTTGGCTGTTTTGGGGGGTACCAAGGTTAGGGGTGTGCATAATACCGCCGAAACCGTCGAAATCGCTAAAATCGCACCGAACCGCACCGCCAAGGCAAATTCGTTATTATTTGTCAAGCGAATCGCCGATTTTTGGTAAGAAAAATGGCAAATTCTAGTAACACTTTTATTAATCCGCCGGTTTCTATTTTTCTTCCAAACCGCACCGACCCGCACTGCTATTAAATCATGTTTTATAAGATTCTAAAAATTCTTTTTTACTTAAGTTTGCTTGTTGTTCTATACCTTAGAATATAGTGTTACATTACTGCTCGAGGGGAATTCAAGATGTCAATAATTCAAAATAAAGTTAGATTCCAATTCACTTTTCAAGATGTTTAACATTACGGTATCTCTTGTCTTTTTTTTACTCTTTGATTTAAGTTTTGTAATTTGAATTATATTTTTTATAAACCGCTAATCCGCCCGAACCGCCAAGGCAAATCCGCCATTATTTGCCAACCGAACCGCCGATTTTTAATAAGAAAAATAGCAAATTCTAGTGACACTTTTATCAATCCGCCACCCGCCATACGATTTCTATTTTTCTCTCAAACTGCACCGACCCGCACCGCGCACACCCCTAACCAGGTGTCCCCATGCCCAAGAAGAATCCAGAACAGGCATTAGTTTCTATCAAGTTTCGTTGGTTGCGGTTGAATTGTTAATTTTATTAAATAAAAATTTTTAATAAAAAATGTATATAAATTTTTAAATTATAAATGGTATTTGTATTTAAACAAATTCTAAGATGTGTATTTATAATTTAATCTTAAATTTATAATTCAAATCTAACTTAGAAATTTATCTAATCATATAAACGAAAAACTATTCAATACTCTTGAAAGAAAAATGTCTCGTAGTTCAAATTTTGTGGTTCAAAAGTAGCTCAAATTTTTATGTTGTTCTGTACTCAAAACGACGTCGTTTTGGCCATTTGAGCCACTTTTGAGCCACAAAATTTGAGCTACGTAGCATTGTCGCTCTTGAAAAGCCATATGGACCCATTGCATGGGTGATGGCCATAGAATGACTTGTCTATGATTGGGGTACCAAGGTGTTCCCATGCCCAAGAAGAGTCTAAAACAAGTATTGTTAGGCATGTTAGGATTTAACCCTCAAACTAGTATGTTTGAAAAGAATATGCTTGTTTGGTTGTTAGAATTTTAGTTTAAAAGGGAAAAAGAATCCTGGTTTGGCATGTTAGGATTTTAATTTAAAATTTAAATCTAACCTAAAAATTTACCTAATCAGATAAATGAAAAACTATTTAATGCTCTTGAAAAACCATATGGACCCATTGCATGGGTGATGGCCATAGAATGACTTGTCTGTGATTTGGGTACCAAGGTGTCCCCATGCCCAAGAAGAGTCTAAAAAAGTAATGTTAGACATGTTAGGATTTTACCCTGAAGTATGTTTGAAAAGAATATGCTGGTTTAGATGTTAGAATTTTAGCTTAAAAGCAAAAAAAAAACCTCGTTTGGCATGTTAGAATTTTAATTTAAAAATTAAAAGGTTATTAAACCTTGTTTTAAGAAGTAAAAAAAATAATAATTTTTTAACTTTTTTTTTTAAAAAAATATGTAAAAAAATAAAGATATGATGTAACCCAAATAAATCAATAAATCAGTAAGTTGTTTTTTTTTTATAATTGCCAAAATATGCCTAAAAAAGTCAAAGAAAAAACAAACAAACAAAAAAAAACTGACAAAAATCCAAAACCCGAAGAGTCCTTCCCACTTACTCTATCTTTTACATATCTTTTCACAAAAATCAAAACTAAAAATCATCACTAATATGCTAATGTTTTTTTCACCTTCTATTTTGACAAAATAACTCTATCTTTTCACAAAAATCAAAACTAAAAATCATCACTAATATGCTAATGTTTTTTTCACCTTCTATTTTGACAAAAAAATTAAAAAATTACTAAAATAGTATTCCTAAAAATGGCAGTCGATCAAGTTTTGTTTGCCAAAGTTGAATTTTTATTTTTTTATTAAATTAAAAATTATAATAAAAAAATATTTATAATTTTTTAAATCATAAAAAATAATATGTATTTAAACAAATTTCAAAAAGTATATTTATAATTTACTTTTAAATTTATGATTTAAACCTACCTTAAAAATTTGTCTTATCATATAGACATGTTCCATGGGTGGTGGCCATAGAATGACTTGGCTCACTACAAGAAAATTAGGAATTAGCGGCATTTTTAAAATGTCGCAAAAGGCCAGAAAAACGCAGCAAAAACATAAGACGATGTTTTAAAATTTCGCCGCTGATACGGCCGCCGTCATTTCTTTTTGACTTTTTAAAAATGCCACTAAACAGTTTAGACAGCATTTTTTAAACGCCACTAATTCTTAACATATGTTGACTATTTCCGTCTAATGAGTTAACTATGACGTAATCATGACGACATTTAGCGATATTTTTATGAAAAACGCCATCTTTTCTTTTCTTTTCTTTTCTTTTTTGTTTGAAAAATCATAGTTAATGATGTTTTTTGCTTTGATTCAAGGCAAACCTTCCCCCCCCTCAAAAAAAAACCCTATAATCCATCACCATTTTCAAAACATATACATAATATGAGTCAATATTCATTTTCCAATTTTCCATAACCATAAACAAAAACCTTAAAACGTAATATGTTAACTCAACATAAAAAAATAAAAATCGCTAATATTTCCACATTTTAACAAAAAAAAATATGGAGTTTGCTCTGGTATTTTAGTTTCAAAGGCTGCTATCTCTTCGAAAAACTTTGCCTCCAGCTCATCATGTTGGCTCTACAATGATACAGTAAAGCATTACACTTCAACACACCCAATAAATCAAATGCATATATAGAGAATCAAGAACATTCCCATAAATACCCATATAATCAATAATTCAACATCACTAAAACATGTTGATGAATAGAAACTAGGCTATACAACATCAATTTTCAATCCTATCAATAAGATCATATATATATATATATATATATTGAAAGAAACCTAAAGCTCTCTGAGAACATTAACTCGCTTTCGAATCTTCGGCAAAAGAGTCTCAAGAACATCGAAGTGTTGCCCAACCAAATTCTAAAGCTTTTGCAAAAAATAGTCTGAATAGTTGGATTCTTACAGCAGCCATTGACTATCAACCCAATAAATATCAACTATTGAGCCTGCCATTATTAGTTAAAGACTAAAAAATGATCTTCTTAAAAGAGCTATTGGGCATAAATGCCTCATCCTTATATAACCCATAATTAAATTTGCAAAATCTATCATTAACCCATCATGCAACCTAGCAATTAATATATATATATATACATAATCCATTATTAACCCATTGCCATTAATGCCAATCACAACAAAGTATCACTAAACATTTAACATAAATAAATTTAAAACTGAAAAAAATATATTAACGATTCATTTTATTGAAATGATTTAGATAATATATTACTAAAAAAAATATATATTAATGATAATGCCTGCACTTCAAGAAGAGAAACATAAGCATAACATTAGCACACAATATCATAATTCTCAAACTAGGCAAACAAAATCTGTCTACAACAAATTTCACTATAAAGATGTGACGTAAAGTTTTATAGATTTATATGGACACAATTTAGGCCCAAGACAATACACTTGACACCATGGGTAATTGCTCATCAAGTCAACGTCAAGCTATAAAGACATCAAAGTTAATCATTCATATCTCAAGTCCCTACAAGGAAGCATCATTAATCATCGTACATTGCCTGGACTAATGCTTCGTACAACATCAATGAGATTCACATCCCAAATCACAGAGCTAACACCAATTATTGATTTTTAGTTACCAATTTAACAAACAGGTCTGGAGGGCGACTGTTTTTCACTCTCCAATTTACCCAAAACGAAAAATAATAATTGATGAAATGTATCATGAAAATTAAGAATTGAACTGGGGGTTGTTAAACTATTACTTATATGCTATTCACTCCAAATTATTGACCAAATCTATCTATCATGAAAATGAAGAATTTGCTGACCTCAGTATGTGGATCAAGAACTTGTTAATGCAAAACATGGGCAACCACAGACAACCCTCCAAAACTCAGAGGGGCATGCAAACTGAACAAGTACAAAGCCAATGTGCTCTATACACTCCCACTATCTGATTCCAAGAAAGACAAGTCCTGTTAACCAAATCAAACATAATCCAATTTGAGCATTTGAATTAGAAAACCATACAAAATAGAACTCGTACATTGCCGTTAAAAAGTAAGGGAAAAAGAAGAGAGAGAGAGAGCACCGACTATTAAGTTAATCATATATATTACATTCACATCATCTACCTGTGAATGTTGGCCAAAATTAACCCCTCCCCCCTACAAAAATAAATAAATAAATAAATAATCGCAACTAGTGATTTTTAGACAAATTACAATATAATATAAGAGAATAAATAGGTAACAGATTAAAGAAGGAAGAAGGAGTTACATAATGACATTTTTCAGACCCTAAAAACGGGTTCTAATTCTGATAGAGTAGCTTTATATTGTCATCAGAAGATAAAGAAATTCAAGAAATTTGTAGAGGGTGGAGATGGGTTTTTGTACCTCAGAATCAGAGGCTTTGGGAGTGTGTTCCTCTTTGATACAAGAACAATTGATAGAAGATTTGGAGCCAAATTTGGGATTCCAAAGAGATGACATCTTCAACTCTACATATTTCAGTAGATGCCACTTGCATTACACAAGCAAATATGTGAATGAACATGTATATTAAATCAGTAAAATTCGTTTTGTCATCCCACCCTAACCTTAGATAAGCATACAACATAAACAATAAAATATCTGAAATTAATAATAATCTATCTTGCAAATAATCTGTTAACATCTTATTTTTGGCATACAAAAAAATAAAATAAAATAAAATAAAAAATTATCTTTCTTAGGTATAATCTTCTCCAAATTTTAACAAAAGTAAATATTCGTTTACAGCTACACCTTGCATCCCTATCTCAAAAAAATTAAATTAAAAAGATTATTAAAAAATACAAGTATGATGTGAAGAAAGATACTTCAATTGCAAACACAACAAATAATAAGATAGCAGAGGAAGGGTTAGATAACAATAACACAAAAAGCAAACAAATTTAACCAAGCTTTAGTGCTTTCACCCACATGGTTTCTCAATTTGTTTCTCTCCCTGAAACTTCTTGTCTCAATCATGTTCCCCCTAGCTATGATGGAGTAAATTCACTGAGAAAACACAAAGAAGTCAAGAACAGATGCCCAAATTAGAAGATTTAAGTGCTATATGGCCAAAAACACCAGTCGTCAATCTAAGCACTAATCCTTGTTTAAGAAAACACAACAAAACCAGTGATGATTAATGTTCTTCAAAGATGTCTTAGATAAACATATAAAACTATATAAACACACATATGTAGTGAGCTCATCGAATAAAGAGAAGAAATAGAGAAAAAGTAAGAGAAAAACGTAAAACGATTATAGAATTGAAAAATATAAAACAACCATACTTGAGATATACATAACCCTAGATCAGATCCAAATCATCCAAACCAAGCACAAGCCATCGTTTATGGAACAGATGAGAACCTAGATCACCGATGAAAATCAAAACCTAAGCAAGAGTTTATTTAAATGGAACACAGATCCAAATCGTTACTGTGTAGTGATGAAAATCTCTGAATCTTGAGTGAACTCATAGCAAGTCTAGATCAGACTTGATGAAGAACAAGCCCTAGAATGAAAATCAAAACCCTAATCAAATGTAAATACAATAATTTTCAATAATAAATTCGAACATATATGAAAACTAGTTAATCGAATACAAGATTGCTACCATGAAAGCTCTATATCTCAAGTGAACTCAGTAACTCCAAATCAAGAGCAATTGGATACCTGAATCCATGAAAAACGAAGACCTAGATCGGTAAAGATTAAGGGAAATTGAAAAATCTTGAAGGAAAATATCAAATCCTAAGACCTAGTGCACAAATCGAAATTGAGATCAAGATTGAACAAGAAACCATTGAGATTAGAAGCATCAATCTCTCTGTAGATCTATAAACTCCAAGAAGTCTTCATTGCTAGTTGCATCCACGACTCTTTAGGGCTAGTGAGACACGACTACTTAGGGCTAGTAAGAGAGAATCATTTTAGAGAGAGAGAGAGAGAGAGAGAGAGAGAGAACCATTTGGAAATGTTTGAATAGATATGGGGTTAAGTCTTTGTGAAGTTGAATCGAGACTTATCTCATTGGGACCATCAAATGGCATCTTATTAATTTAGGTGATATCGTGCTTTGAAAAGCGCGTTTGCCACTAAGATATATCACGACGTTTTTTAAAAAGCCTTGATTCTAGCACCATCATAAGCAACTTTTTTTTGTAGTGGCTATTATTGGGGTACCAACGTGTTCCCATTCCAAAGAAGAATCCACAACAAGTATTATTAGTTTAATGTCCCCATCAAGTTTTGTTTGTTGGGGTTGTAATTTTATTTTTCCAATTAATCTTTGTTAAATAAAATTTTTTTTAAGAAGATATTTTTAATTTTTTAAATTATATAAGATAATTCGTATTTAAGAAAAAAATTTGGATGTGTATGTGGTGTCCTGAATTCCCTTTAGCATTTGAGCGCATTATTGGTGATCCATGTCCCTTTGTGTGTCTTCTTCATTGTTAAACCTCTTGAAACTTGTGTTGTTATCCATTCTCTCTTGTGGTTGTTCTATTAGGTACATCCTTGTGTATTCCGAGATGTCTTCTTGCACTTTTGGGTGTTTGAGAGAAACCAATAAGGTTGGCTAATGTTTTGATAGCTCTTAGTCTCACTTTCAGGTTGAGACCGCTTGAGCGGTCTTTTGGTCGCTCGAGCAGTGAATTTGACCTTCCAGTACTTTGGTTTGTAGTCTGAACTTCTGGGAGCACGCAGTGAAGAATTCATCACTTGAGCAGTCATTTGCAAAGAGGAATGGAGTTTCTGGGGGTAGGTGTTTTTTGCTCGAGCTCGAGTTTCATCGCTCGAGTGGTCTTTCAAATTGAACTGTTCGCTCAAGCTCACAATTAGTCACTTGAGCGGTCTGTCAACTATCAGCTTCGAAAATTGAGTTAAATCACTTCAAAAGTTGAGCCTTACTCATTTTTCTATCACTTTTCACTTCACACTCTCTCTTTACATTAACTCTCACTCTCCTTTATCTCATCTCTCTCTAGAAACCCTCAAATTCACTTCGTTTAGTCCTTGATCTCTCTCTATCCATCGAGATTTCAATCTTGTTGCTTACTTTTAATTTTGGAGAGCTCGTCGAGGACTACGTGGTGGACGGTAGAGATTGGATTTTAACCCCGTTGGTTTTGGAACATCTCACCCTTTCTTCTCAAGGTATTAAGGTAGGGATGTTCTTTGAGTTATATATATAGTTTTTAGCATACCTTGTCCTTTTCACTATGTTTTCTAGTATAGATTGATTTTTGGATGTTGAATCCAGAAAAAAAAATATATCTATTAGAGAAATTGTCACACCCTAATTTTTAAATTACTTGGAAACATTACCAAAAACCTTTAATTTAGGTCCATTTCTTTTTTTTCACAAATATCTATTACCCTTGAGTAATAGAAACATAATAACATATGTTCTCTCTCTTAATAAATATAACAATAACAATAATTCATGCCAAGCTTCCACTACAGAGTTACAAATAAATAATTACAAACGTCAATGTACAATATTCATTTCTTTCACATCTACGATGAAATTACACATAAGAGACACATGGACTTCTTAACTCTCCAATTAATAAATCCAAAATCTCTTCTTGTAAAAAAAATGAAATAACAAGGGATGAGCGCAATTGCCCAGTAGGGATCTCGTAGTTCTACAATAATAACTAACACACAGATAGAAATGATCATGCATGCAAGGTGATACCATATAGTAAGGTGACGTTTTGTAATTTCAAAATATTATACGTAGAGTACCTTTATCTCAAATTTTTTTTGAACATTTAAGGAAAACTTTCAATCATAAAAATTATCCCTCTTCATCAAAAAACCATAAATCCTCTTTGAGAACAAATATGCTTAAGAAACAACATCATTTTAAATTTATTAACCCAACTTCAAAATATTCCTCATTTTATTTCCATTTCCCTTTTTACTATTCACAATTATTATAACTCCATAACCTCAAGGTTCCAATTCCCTTAATACTCAAAAATAACCCCCATACACTCCATTCCCACTTGTCTATCTATTATTGCTATAACACCATAACATAAAATCCAAATCTTCTTTATATTCAAAAACAATTCTCCTACACTCAACTCTTACTTATCGAACAACTACATCACATAAACATTTGCATTCTCAAATTATAATTCAACATAACACAGGACTAATAAACCCTTTCAATTTAACTTTTCAATTATTTACAAAATAAAACTCATAATCTTCCTTTATAGTCACAACCAATCCAGTGAGTTCATCATCACCAACCCTTAATCCAATTACCATTTCATTTTCCATTCTCTTCAAATAATTTCTATTTCCATTTCCCTTTCATACCAAATTACACATCAAATCGTAATTTCACGAGTTCATCACATGTTACACATATTATTACTGACTCAACACATTTCTCAACACGTTCCACCTTTTGCCGACTTGATACGGCGGGATAACGGGCATCCAATTTAATAACATCTTCCAACTTTTGCCGACTTGGTATAGCGGGAAGTGGACTCCCAAGAGAAACATTTTTATTGGTAAAACACTTTTAAAACCATGTTTTTCTAAAAACTGTATTTTTTCACATTTATCAACTGTCATATGGCAGGACGTGGGCACCCAAAATCACCTTTTTATTTTGAAAACTATCCTCTACATTTGCTGGCTATTAATACGGCAAGACATGGGCAACCAAAATCATCCGTTTTTATTTTGAAAATCATCTCTCGCCTTTGCCGGCTATTAATATGGTAGGACGTGTGCACCCAAAATCATTCGTTTTTATTTTGAAAACCATCTGCCACGTTTGCCGGCTATTAATATGGCAGGACGTAGGCACCCAAGATCATCCATTTTTTCACTTTTATCAGCTATTAATCTGGCAGGACTAGTAGACACCCAAAAATATTTTTCTCACATTTGTCCAGCGATAAGCCTAGACAGAGCAATTGGGCACCTTTTGAACTTCTCATGCGAGTACCAACACAACACCACCCAACACGTCAACCCTAAACCCCCAATCTCATGATTTATCACAATCTGCTTAAAAATATAAATTTTGTATTTATATAAAAAAAAATACCACATATATGTCTATAAAATGAGATTATTGAAGAAAAACTAGAAACCCTTACCTCAAGGATCAAGCAAGAAAGCAAGGCTTTGTTGAGATTCCTTCATAAAATCAAAAATCCAATCGGTAGGAAAATGAGATCTTCATGTATTCTTCACTATCTTGGCCAAATCTTTGAGAAATAAAAGGTATTTGGGTCAAGAAATCAAGGGTTTTCGAACTTAGGATGAGAGGAAGGAAGAGAGAAAAGAAAAGTAGAGAGAATGATCTAGAAAGACACTTTTTAAACTGCTAAATTCGCGCAGTCCGCTTAAGTATCACTTCCTGCGCTTGAACGCACTTGCTTCCAACACAGATACTAAAACTTAAAACGGGCATAACGCTCTCATCCGGACTCCTTTTTAGGTCGTTCTTGTATCCAAATCGAAGCCCCAGAAACAACATTTCCAATGGTTTTAGCCTCATATCCAGATGCAAAGTGTGGAAAAAGAAAAGGGTAAACGAGTGATGGTTGTTCATAGGAAAATTATCCGAATCAAAGTTCTTGGTTGACTCTTACTTTACCATTATGTTACCACTTCGATCAATATCCGAAAATAAAACAAAGAGGCTCCAAATACACTAATAAGAATTTCAAGGGCAATCCCACTAGTCCCAGAAGCTTTGCAAAGCTACAGTGAAACTACTAGGTGCTCACTTTCTACGCTCGAGTGACATTTCCTACGCTCGAGCGGCTCACCTGCAAACATGCGAGATACTGGGAGCAACAATTCTATGCTCGAGTGCCACTTCTTGGGCTCGAGCGGTTACCTGGATAGATTATCACAAAAATGTACTCTTTTTTATGACTTGGTCCAAGATAAATTATTTTGGATATACTATGAAATATTTTAGAGATGTTTGCTGGTAGTTGATGGGTCGTTGCACACACCAAAATTAAACACTAAACTATACCAAATTTTTTTAAAATAATGGCAAGTCCAGGTATTGATCCACATGGACAATTGTGAAATTAGACTAATTTAACTGCTAAATTCCTAAATTATTTTTGATTAAAAAGATTTAGAGATTTTATGACTAAAAAGGAATTAAATGAAATTGAGAAATTAAATTGACAATTAAAATTAGGGTTTGAGATATTAATTTTTGGAAAAAAAAATCCTAGGGTAAAGAATTCACCACTAACCATATAAATGAGATTAAACATTGGCTATCAATTGCAATCCGGTTTGAAATACCCAATATTTCACAACTACAAGTTTGAAATATTGATCAAGAGGGTTGTTGCATTCAGCGTACAGGCAGGAGTCATCCTGAGTAGCACGAGGTGTTTGCTCTAAACTACGGTAGCAACACAACCCGTCTCTCGTAGCATGACTCGTCTCGTATTTTGAACCCAAACACAAAGAAAACTAATGTATGGAAAGCATTAAACAATCACAGAGAGTAAAATACTTGAAGAGATGAAAAGAATAATTATTATAAACTTCTAAAACATCCATACATTGATTCAAACCGAATCACAATCAAAGCGTGCGAAAAATCCTATTACATGGCTAGGGTTTCATCAAAACCCTAGAAAATAGTAACGTAGCCACTCATGAAGAAGTGGGAAGAGGTGGAAGAGATGGAAGACCCCATGGAAATTGGATTGAAAGCTTGAGAATCCTTTCCTCCTAACCCTAGCCTCCCTCTCCTTGGAAAATATCAAAACCCTAATCCAGTCCCTTTCTTGCCTTTTTATACCTCTACTGTCTTTCAAACAGGTTTAAAACATCGGGCCCATTTACCAAGAAAAGTCAGCGCACTGCAGGAAGATCTTTTCTCTCCAAATTCTGTATTTTTGCCAATTTTATGCCCGACTATGTACAACCTGATTGACATTAAACCGATATAAAATATACAATTTGACAAGCAAGTAAAGTTAAGAGATCCTAATTAACAGCCTCAATGTTGCACAATGCGACCTTAATCAGTAGTGCTTTGATAATATAAGAAAAATCCCATATTTTTTGA